ACAGATAGATCACTCATTTTGAGGAACTGGCCTATAGAACAAAATTAAAGTGGCTTAAGCTGGTTAATAGAATAAGACAATAATCCATATTGGATAAGAGCTTTAGAAAATCCAGGATTCTAATTGGTTGAAACAGTTGAGTCTATAGCATGACAATGCAGCATTAACAGGAGCCTGTTTATTTGTTGAGACAAGCTGGCTGCAAATAATAGAAATGATCTTCCAGTAATGCTGGGATTTGGGCATGTGTAATGTCTGTGATGACGCTTGGTGCTTTGCCCTGAAGTAGAATGGCAATGGATGTGAAGAAATGAAATTGTATTTGATGTTAGCAAGTCTTTATTACTGTAATCCACACAAGTTACAGTAAGGAGAAGGGCGGGATATAAATTAAATTAATTAATTAATTAAATTAATAATAATAATAATAAAAATAATAATAAAAAGTGACAACACCACTACTTTTATCTCCATTCCTCTGCAGAGAAAACCAACATCTCCCATATGCTTCACATTACTTCTCACTCTAAAATTCTTTTTTTTTCCTAGCAGGATTCCTGTGGCACGTATTCAAGAAATCTCACTCACAGTTATGCATGCATTCACAAGCCCCCTACTTCATAAGGTTGTTGTGACTGGGTTCACACATTGCAACAAGCCAGGATTTGTTGCATAAATCCCAATTGGCTAGGCTTACATAACATGCTACAATTATAAACACAATGGCTGAATTCATACAACGCACTAACCAAAAGTAGTTTTGGTTTTGAGCAACCTTCAAACTCAATCTATGTGTATGGAGCACTTTGCATTATTAGGAAAAAAGGTATATCAGCTTTCTCCAATATGATGCTCTCCATTCTGAGAATGTTGTACATTGAGGGAGGAATAATAGATTTTGTAGCAATGGAATAAGTCTCCAGTCCTTTTTTAAACAATAAATATATAATCACTGTTCTTAGAAATTCTAAATGGCTAGGTTCATAGAACAAACTATGTTTGTTTTGACTTGATTATCTTTTGAGTGTTCTGGAGTGTTATGTGAACCTGTTCTGTTTAATTTATGATTCATGTATTCTGCAAATCCAGAAAACTTTTGAGTATTTCATCTTTTCCTAACCCAGTGATAAATTTAGCCATACTTTTGCCTTTTCAGGCTTTTAGCTTCAGATTTAGGTTCCCCACCAAAAATATTATTTGTAAGTTGGAACTTGACCACCTTTAAATTTAAATGCATGGATGCTAGAATTGTATAAAATGTGTGGTGTATATGTTCATATGCTGCATATACACCACCCATACAAGAGGTCCTTGGTTAGCAATGATAACTGGGATAAGAATTTCCATCATAAAACAATGTGATTATAAAGGGTGAAATCACATGACCACATCACTTAGTAATGGGAATCCTGGAAATCCCTTTTGCCTCTATTAACTGAATCCCACCAGTTGTTAGGCAAGGAGAGACAGTTGGTGTAGTAGTGAAGGTGCTGGCCTACAAACCAGGACATTGTGAGTTTTAGTCCCACCTTAGGTATGAAATCTGACTGGGTGACTTTGGGCCAGTCAGGCTCTCTCAGCGCAACTCACTTCACAGCCACACTTCTCTGTGCATTATTGATTCACCTGTGGAGATGGTTACCAGCATCAAATTCATGGGTGTGCAGCTAACGAGTAGGTTGGCTTAGTCGCTCAACAGTGAAACGGGCACAGTAGCACCTGCATTTTCTGCGTCACATGAGAAAAGCACATCTTCCTTCCCCTGTCCTGACCACTTTCTACAGGGTGACAATCGAGAGCATCCTGTCATATAGCATCACAGTCTGGTTTGGAAGCATCACTGCTTCAGACAGGAAGGCGGTGCAGAGAGTGGTGAGAATGGCCGAAAAGATCATTGGCAGTTCCGTCTCTCCCATCCAGGACATAGCACCTAAGCGTTGCTTGAGCAGGGCCCGCAGGATTGTCTGGGACACTGCACATCCTCTTCACGACCTGTTTTCCTTGTTACCTTCTGGAAGGAGGCTTCGTAGTATCCATAGCAGAACATCCAGATTCAGCCATAGTTTCATTCCATACAGCATTATCCTTGTGAACTCTCAAGCTTCCTCCTTCCATTATATATTCAAGATGGATAGTATTTAATATTTATTTGTTATGCATATGTAGGGGTGTGGGTCTATACATATGTTGTATATAGTATGTTTAGGTGTGTGTCATGTATGTGTTTCACTGAGAGCGGGCAACTAAATTTCATTTTTGATGTGTGCTGTTGTGTCCATAGTAAAAAAATGACAATAAAGGTTATCTTATCTTATCTTGTTCTGGGGGAAACCGGAGGAAGAAGGAGTATTAGATATGTTTGCCACCTTGAATTACATATAAAATAAGGGGGGGACATAACATAAAACATGACATAACATAAAATAATGTAACATAACATAAAATACAATAGGACCTACCCTGATCCAAGTGATTTCCAGCCCTAAGCCTTTGTAAGGACCTGCCTTCTTTAACCTATTCCCCCCCCACCTCTGACCTGACCTGCATAGTGACATTACTTGGTAATAGCAGTGGGGCTAAAACAGAGGCCCCGGGCCTTCAACAGTCTCACCCAGCTTCCACAACACCTCTATTTCATCCCCAGCATTGCTGGGGCCACCCACTGCCAAGGAGTGTTGTCTTAAGCCCCACATTGTAGCCAGCCATCGCAGTGTGCCAGCATAAAGCCCCAGTTGCCTGTATTCTGCCAGTCTTGCCACACCCATCTGACCTTCGCCATTTTCTTCCTCTCACAAGGCAGCTGCTAGCCATGCCAGGCTTTTTCCCAAGGCTGTGCATCCCATTGTCCAAGTTGCACAAACCCTTGTGATGCTTTAGAAAGCTTCTGAGGCCTTCTGAAATTTTGTGAGAAGGATGGACATGATTTCTGGAATAGCACATGTGGCCCCAGAAAGAAAACCTGGATATAGACAGCAGCTGCCTCGTATAGGTGCCAGGCCCAGTACGACAGCAGTGGGAGAAAAGACAGCCAAGGTCATTTGGGTGCAGCAGGGCTGGCAGATTGCAGACCGTGGGAGCTTTGTACTGTGTCCTTGGGGTAGCTGGCTATGACACTTGAGGTAATACTCCTCGGAAGCAGGTTTTGTGTGGAGCTGAAGAAAGTGTTTCAGGTGCAGCCAGTTCTGAGATTGCTGAAGGCTCTGGGCTTCTACTGCAGTTCCAGTGCCACACTTCTGTGCAGAGCAGCCAAAAGGGCAGAAATGGGGAGGGGAGATAGACAGGTGGGGGGAGTTGAAGTGCTCCATTGTAAATGTGGGCAAGCTGCCAAGTACCCAAATTTTGATCATGTGGCCAACAGGCATGCAACAGTTATAGTTTTAGGGACTGAGCATAAATGCCACTGTAACTCTGAACAATTGCTGAAGTCATTAAGATACGATTACTTATATTAGGAATTCAATCTCTTCATAGGTCAGTGATGGGGAACCTTTTAGAGCCTGAGTGCCCAAACTGCAACCCAAAACCCACTTACGCATCGTCGAGTGCCGGGTGGGTGTGGCCCATTGGCTGGGTATGGCCAATTGGGTGGGCGTGGCTGCAGTGGTAACAGCAGACTGGGTGGGACTAAAAAGTTCAATCAATTCCAACTTTGCAAGATTTTTTTTACCCACAAAAAGTTGAAATTGATTGATTGAAACTTTTTTTTTTTTTGCACATGGTGGCAGAGGCCTAAAGCGAAAAGGTTTTATAAAACCCAGCTGAAAGCCTAGGACTGGAGCGACGGCACGTGTGCCCAGAGAGGGCTCTGAGTGCCGCCTCTGGCACCCGTGTCATAGGTTTGCCACCACTGTCATAGGTCAACATTCTCCAAGTACAATAATGCGAAACCCAGGTGTGCAAATATTTTACACTACACCTTATTTCCTTGAAATAAAATCCCATGGTAATATTGGTTTTTGGGAGCATACGGGCATAAAAAGCGGGGTTGGACTATAAAAAAACAACAACTGTCTGTCTACAGTGTTATTGGGCAACACCATTATAAAAAAGTCAAAGGCTTTCTTCACTGAAACTTAACTCCTGACCACTAATAGCAATACGGAAGTGATCACCCATTGTGTTCTTGTGAAATACCTTTGTCGGGATCAACCGAAAGAGCCCAAAGAGTGGGGTTCAAATGTTCAGTTTCTTCGGAACTATTCAACAGGAATTAAAAAAAAAAAGTATGTCGAAGGAGCATAAAGACCCACAATATTATCCTTCCCTGCCATCTATTAGCAGCAATCGCATTCTGCAGGTCCGTCTGCAGCAAGATCCTGCAAGTCTCGTCCAATAACAGAGAAAGGTGGGTCCCATACATCCATCCCATTCAGCCTTAGGCAGCACGACCAATGTCTCTAGCCTGGCTGTGAAAACATTATCACGCAAGGCTGCAAACACAACCGCCTTGCAAACATCCTGGTGCTACAGTCCCTTCGGCCAGAGGCAAACGGACACGCCTGGCAGCGCGCATCGGGTGTGTCCCCCCATTTTGCACCGCCAGTCAGGTTAGCCCAGGGGTAGTCAACCTTGGCTCTTTTATGACTCGTGGACTTCAACTCCCAGAATTCCTGAGCCAGCTAAGCTGGCTCAGGAATTCTGGGAGTTGAAGTTCACGAATCATAAAAGCGCCAAGGTTGACTACCCCTGGGTTAGCCGACCCCATCTCTCTTCGCCTGTCTGGAGCCCCGCCCGGGCAGCAGGGACGCGAAGTCCACGGGCGGCGCTCCAGCGACTCAATCACGCAGGCTCACTAGAGCCCCCGGGGAAAGCCAGCCAGACTCAGCGCGCATGCTCAACACCGGAACCAAGCAAGGCGGGGCGGGGGTGAGGGAAGGAGGCGGGGCTTGCCTCTTGCTGCTGCTGCTGCTGCTGCTCCTGTGCCGGGCTTGGAGAGTGGCGGCCGTTTGATTGGTGGGAGGGTCTGCGCGGCGACGCTTCCCTTCAGCTCCCTCCCTCCCTCCCTCATTCACCTGCCTGGAACCGGTCTCGCCATGGAGGTGCAGAAAGTAAGTGGGGAGGGGGGGGGAACCGAGGGGCGGTAGGTGTGTGTGTGTGTGGGGGGGTGTGTGTTTGCAAAGGATCCCGCTTTAGCCTTCCTTTGGCCCGTCGGAGGACAGGGAAAAAAGCGGGGCCCGGGAGGAGGAGGAGGAGGCCGAGAGGTGGATCGTGGAGTCGAGTGGGCCTCACCCCTGCGAAGGAAAGTCCCAACCACCCGAGCGTCTCGTGCAGCGTCTCGCGGCTGCTCCCTCCCAGCCCCTCCCTCTTTATTCGTTGGCCGGCGCGAGGCGAGCCCTCGCGGGTGGCCCCTACCTGGCGAGCAGTTGATACCCGTTGTGTGTGTGCGTGTGTGTGTGTGTGTGTGTGTGTGTGTGTGGGGCGGAGAGCGCTGTTCACGGTCATTTCTCTCTCTCTCTCTCTCCCCCCCCCCCGCGACTGAGATGCCCGCGCCTTAGAGCGCCTGGAAAACCCAATGCAGGGGTAGGCAACCTTGGCTCTTTTATGACTCGTGGACTTCAACTCCCAGAATTCCTGAGCCAGCTGTGCTGGCTCAGGAATTCTGGGAGTTGAAGTCCACGAGTCATAAAAGAGCCAAGGTTGCCTACCCCTGACCCAATGCAATGAGACCTCGCCTTTGGAGAGCTTTTTTTTTTCTTTTTCTGAGGGGGGGGGAATTAGGAAACCCCGAAGCGGCTGCTTTTCTGACTGCAGAGTCAGAAAACTGGGGTTAGTCTAACGGGGGTTAGCCTGCAACTCCCATTTATTATCCCAAAGCATGACACACTGCTTTCTCCGGTCTGGGAGGGTTATTAGATTGTAAGTCTGCTTTCTGGGCGTGGGCCATGCCAGTTTCCCTGGTGACAAGGGGGTGATGGTGGACATTGGACCCAACTGCTTCGTGGGAAAGATCCTGTGGGGAAAGGGCGCCTGGGAGCTGCGGGTTCCCTTTTAAAAAAAATAAGTTCCTCAAAACTGTGTGATGACTGGGTGACCTGCCAACCTTTTTCTCGCCTTTCTTCCCTTTCCAAATAGGCAAGTGGGAGATGGCTAAGACGAAAAAAGCTTTCCTTAAGTAAACTGTGTGTGTGTGTAGGAAATAAAAAATATTTATAATCAAAGATATTCCAATCAAACCTGAACAGCTTTCTCCAATTCTACATTGCCGGGCGGCAGTAGTGCTAATAGGATGGTACAAGGTGTTTGTAAAGCTGGCTAGCATACAGTTAAGTCCCAAAGGCATTCCTTTGCACATAAATCACAATACAATTAAAAGAACTTTTATTTATTGCACTTGTATTCTCCCTGTAGGAATTCCATTTCCATCCTTCGATCTCATAAAAAGCTGATGTTGTAATTTAGGGAGGGGATGGTCCTAATTGAATAGTAACCAACTTGAATGCTTGAAGTATTGCCTAGTCATAATTTGACACGGTGAAATTGGAGACACGTGGAACAAAACAGAAGGGGAAAAATGTTTTGCATGCAAATTCTATCACTCAAGTGCATTTGTAATATAAGCCTATTGCTTAAGAATATTCTAGTTGTTTGCAGTCTCAAACAAGACTTTTAGGTAAGGTGAAACCCAAATGGAACTTCTATATTGTAAAAGTTATGAACTCTTAGATATGATTTTTAAAATACTTAGTGAAATATTGAAGAAAGAAAAAATGAACAATTATTTTTCTATTTGTTCTTTTACAATACAATAGGAACAATTTTAATGTGTAATAAATTCATTAGAATGGATGGGACTTTCCCTGAAAAAGAGGAAATCCTTAAAAATCCAGCTGTTTAGTTATGGATTTGTCATCCTGTATTCATTTTTTTAGTGTATGAGTGTCCTGGAACTTATTAATAGTATTAAAATTCATTTAAAAACTACTTTGCTAATCTTGTCTCTCACTACCTGATATGAACTGGGAATTGGAATAGGTTTCATTATACTAGACACTACATATATTGAAGTATCAAGTTTTAGATGCTTTGTATCTAAATAGCATAATATAAGGAAATAGCATACATGTTTTTTTCTTGATGATGACTGCTCCTACAGTGTAAATGGGTGTGTAAAAAAGGTTTAAAAATTGTAAATCACCTTTGACTGATGTCCCAGTAGTTGAATGTTTGATAAGTAAACTGATGAACTTCACTGAATGCTGGTAAAAAGTGTGAATACTGGTAACGTCGTAGGAGTACCAGTATACTAGTTTTAAACCTGGTAACGTCGTCGTAGGAGTACCAGTGTACTAGTTTTAAACCTATGAATCGTTGCCTGAACATAAATACTGTCAACGTCACATCCTGGGTCATGTGATCACCACTTGTGATCTTCTGACAAGCAAAGTCAATGGGAAAGCCAGATGCACCTAACAACCTTGTTACCATACTAACTTCACAACTACAGTGACTCACTTAACAAGTATGGCAAGAAACATCATAAAATGGATCAAAACCCACCTAGCAATTGTCTCACTTAGCAAAATAAATTTTAGGCTCGATTATGTAAGTTGAGGACTACCTGTATTATCTTCAGTGGCAGCAGAGAATATAATTCTGTAACATTATGCATCTGATGGCATTTCCTTTTAATGATTTTTTTAAAAATGCCATTCACTACAATTTAAAATCGCCTGTTAATTTAAATAAAGTCTTAACAGCTGCTATATGCAGAAATCATTTCCTTTTCATAACAATATGCAGATGTTGCTTTTAAAAGTAATATTTTTGTTAATTAGCTTGGAATTCTTCCCAGTGCTTTTTTAAAATCTCGATTTAAGATTTCTGTCATAATGTATGTCTGGAAATTTTTCAGGGTTTTGTTTTGTTCATTAGTGAAACTATACATAATTATTGCTCATCATGATTAGCAAAATCTAGGCAAAATGATAATTTTGATTTGTCCATTAATTGCAACACTTTCTTTTTTTATTCCTCCAACTATTCAAACTTTTGTGGGTTTCAGCTTAGTATCTTTTAAATTAATTAAAATAATGCTGATCCCATTAGCAAAATACTGTTGGATTAGCTGGATAATTGAGGTCATTGCAAAGTATCTGAGTTTAGGTTCACACTATGGATTTAAAATATTGATGATGATTGCTTTGTAACCTATATAATGCGTAATTTGGGAGATACATCTGGGATATACAATAATATTAACTTTAAATATCTGCCTTCATAACTATTTGAAGTCAAAGATCAGATTTCTTATCAAAAATTTGAAAGTATCACTCTATCAACTATTCACTTTTATTGTATTCTTTCTGATACCACCTATAAAAACCGTGTAAAGTTATCTTTGAAAATAAAAGTCTAATCTAAGACGGAAAGATAGTTCTTTCGCACAGTTCTAGTCCACCTTAGCCATGAAAGCATCTGGGTGACCTTGGGCCAGTCACACATACACAACTGACTTCACAGGGTTGTTGTGAGGGGAAAAAAGGAGGCAGAAGGTATGTTAGATATGTTTGGCACCTTGCGTTATTTGTAAAATAATAACAGTGGGATACAAATAAATAAATACGAAATTCTTTCTACGTTGTAAGAACTGCAATCAAAATGAAAGTCTATAAATGTTTATTGGATCTAAAGTATAACCAAAGACCATTAGCCATTCTTTTCACCTAGAGTCTGGTAATAAAAGCAGCATATCAGCTGAAGTTGAGACAATATGATCTCTATGACATAAGTAGCATACGTTATATAAAGTTTGAAACTGAACAGAATGTAAAAGTGTAGTACACTCTAAGTCCAGAGCTAATTAAATGTAGCAGAGGCTAAAAGTATGGCATTTTTTTAAAAAAAGTATCATTACTCTATTTATTAGAATGCTAGGCCTATAGTTAATTTTAAAGCAATAGTGTTTCAAACAGGGATGCTACAGTAAACTCACAGCGGTGCCATAGGAAATTTGGTTATTTTATAATCAGAACTGTTAACTGAGTTTGCTGTGGTGCCCCAGAGCACTGCCATGCACAGTAGGGAACTGCTAGGGGCATAATCCTAGAAAATGTTTGGAATCTCTGCAATACAGTGAAAATCTCTTCATTCTTTGCAAACTATTTTTAATTGTGATAGCAATACTGCAAACCTAATGATTTGGCAGCATCCTTCTTCTGTCAGAGATGATAATGTATGGTGTATACCTTAATATGAACAAGTGGGATGCTAGCACGTATCTCTGATGTATCTCTGATGTATCTCTGTCTCTTCCTGGGTCCATATTAGATAAATGACAGGTTTTAAGGAGATCATTTTAAGACGTGGTTGGTCAAGAAGGTCATTCTTCTATACATGGACATTGTTATATGTTTTTGTTCTGCTCTTAACTAATCCATCAACATGGTTTTCAAATGCATGACATATAATTTACCAATTAAATGGGATGATAATATGGTGACTCTATCTTACAATGTTTGGTTTGAGTTAATAGTATCCACCACCATTCAGTGTTAATCCCACTAGTACCCATCATAGTTCCAGATATAATACCATAGAGCAGAAAGTCATATTATCTTTTCTTTGTGACATTTCTATCAATTGGAATCAAAGGATCTTGTCTATTTCAGTTTCTCCCTTATAAGGCTAATATTATCATCTCCTTGTATTCCCTTTATTGAAGATAAACTTTACTGATAGTTCTCAATTTACAACTGGTTCCTTAGTGACTGTTCCGAGTTAAGATGGTATTTACAACCCAATTTCAAAGTTACAATGGCTGCACACACACACACACACACACGTCAGCATATTTTGGCTGCTTGGCAGCGGGCTTACCTTTATGGTTGTTTGCAGTGTCCTGCGGTCATGTGACCACGATTTTTAACATTTTTTTATTGGTTTCTAGGATTTATTTCCAGTTTCAAAGAAAAAAAGTGCCCATGGGGTAAAATTTATATGCTTAATCACCATGGCATTCACTTAATGACTCCTGCAAAAGCAACTGCAATGATTTATGACTGTAATTCTGGGCTCAGTTATGGTTGAAAGTTGAGAACAACTTGTATTTCTTTTTTAACACTTTCCCCATTATACCAGTAATTCCATTCTTCATGTTCAGATATCCTATGTCTACTGAGAGGCAGTGTTTTAGTATCATAGCCAGTTTGTCAAAGGAGGCAAATAAATAACTGTGGACCATTTACTAGGTTAGCCTTTAAGGGTTTAACACCTTTAAGATCTCTAGTCCCCTTTAATTAAATTCTGTTTGTGTCTAATGTCAAATCAGTTTGGACCAACTGAGCATTATTTGAAGGTTTAATAATACAAATTGTCTTAAATGAAAGATGTCAAAGTAATGTTCCAGATTTGGTACAGTATGCCCAAGCCTCTTTTATGTTTTTGCTTAACAGGCATTCTTGTAGCTACGTAAGATAAAAAATTTTGCCATATAATAAAGCTGGCTTGTAGATGAATTTTAGGGCATAATCCGTATCTGGATAAGATCGGCACAGGGCATGAACAAGTCAGTATTAAGTTGCTCATACTCATTACAGTATCTTGTAAAGCAGCTTTCCCCAATGTAACCCTTCTGTTATTACTGGAATTCTAATTGTCATGGCCAAAGCAGTTCTAACATTGGAAAAGAAAACTACTATATAACTGTCAGAGTTAATACATGTTTAGAGTCTGCTTGAACTTGCAGGTCCCCTACATAATGCAATAATGAGAAAAAGAGCAGAAATTTCCTGTCTGTTTAATTTTTCAGTAATCAAGAATTTATAGGACATATTTACAAAAATAATTTGAAATAAAATATTGAATCAGATTGGAGATGCAGGCAGCCTGAAAACCTGAAAATTACATATAATTGCTACAAATTGTATAGAATTTGAGTGTATGAGACTCGCTCCATTTTGCTTCTTGCAAGTGTCTCTTGGAGGTTTTTCCCCACTTTGGACAACAACGGCCAGTGGGTAGACTTCAGTAACTTTTCAGATTCAAAGTAAATGTTATTTTAGTGAATAAATATTTAGAAATAACTTTCTAAAGTTGGCCTGAATTGTCTTTAGTAAATTTGAGTGGAGTGACATTTTAGATTGTTGTGACATTTAGCAAAAGAAAATATTATTAGTGTGGACTTAAGTTGTACATAATGTTGAAACTAAATATATTTCATAATGCTGAATACATAATAAAGACCACATGGTATACCGATCGTGTATTATGTAGATTATAAAAGAAAAAAATTCTTCCCTGTTGCCTTGTTCTTGTCTGTTTAGTATGGATTAAGTACTCTGCCAATTATATTTGTTATTACTGTGTGTTTCATTTTACACACGGAGACACTTTTATCATTTCCTTCATGCCTCACATTCACTTTGAGCAATTTGATGTGTTGCTCTCTTTATCACTAGTGTAGATACCATAATATTTCTTATCAGGATCATCTTTGCATATGCTCAGACCACAAAGTTAAGTTGGTAGTACAAGTGTTGCTAGACTGCCTCTTATCTCTTGCTTGATATTGTGATCTTATTGAACAACTGATTTGCAAATATCATGATCAGCAGCTGCAAGATCACTGGACTGAAACATCCAAAAATTATAGCTATGACAATTAGAAACTAGTGGATCTGCTTTACAACTAAGCCCAGGCTGTATACCGTTACATACCTGTCTTCAAAAGTCTGGGCTGTCTTTTTTCAAGCCTTCCCATCTATCTGTATACAGAATCTTGTTATATTTTGCAACATTTCATCCCTTGTCAGGTTTGACTTATTATGTGGACTTCTGCTGTGCTACAAATGTAACCGCTTGTGTGTTTTTTTTAATCTCTTTTAATCAATTGTACATCTCATCTTTGTTTTCTTTCTTCCCTCCTTTGATCTATGTCCCCTTACATAAATAAATATGAAAATATTGTCTACTTGTTGAATTTGTTCTTCTGATTCTAACAAAATGAACCTACATATTTTGACGAATGCATTCTGTTTTTAGGAAGCGTTGCAAAGAATTATCTCCACATTGGCACATAAAAATGATGAAATCCAGAACTTTATTGAAACTTTAAATCACATTTTGGAAGGAGTACAGGTATGTTAGATCCTTGTAAACTGATTGATGTGTCTGAAATAATATAAGTAAATGAGCAATCCTTCTGACCACTCCAGCAAGGAAAAAGCAGTGGGAGTTCTAATTGGACAATACTTTTTAAAAATAAATAGGTGATAGTGAACCACCCCTTCTCATTTTAGGCAAGGCTAGACTGAGATGGAAGGGAGTTGTTTGGAAAACTTAAAGAGTGGGGACACTAATTCCTAAACTCCTTGGGTCTTTAAAAATTATGTACATTCATACATTTTATGTGAATAATACATAAAGAAGAAAAATATTTTGTCCATGGAAGTTTGTGAAATCAAGAAGCAATGTAACCATATCCCTAAACAGCATGTTCAGATGCTTTATTGTTACCTGGATTTTTGCCATTTTCCTCATCCTCAAAGGTGACTGTGATTATGGCTAAATTGAAATTGCTAGTAGAAGTGAAGTGGTATTCAGCCTGTCCTTCAGCAACTGTTACTTTGTTATTCTGGGCATTGAAAAGAATGCAATACTATTAAGCAAAGGAAGTTTCTAGTACAGTAGTGGCATCAACTATATTATTTCTTTTCTACTAATTCACCACATTTTCATATTGGACATGAGAGTTAAGGTTAACAGGGGTAATGAAATTTCACCTTTCTAAGGCTAGCCAGCTTATTTCTGTGGTTGATATAGTGCAAGCAAACATTTGCCTCATACATCATGCAAAAGAACAACGGTCTTGTGGAGACAAGATTGAGGTGTGTACCTTTGCTGCTAGTCCACTGATTTATCTGCTGGGAATGTGACAAATTCTATTTGTATGTGTTTAGTATAGAAAGCCAGTAGTCTAACAGAGAGGCCAGAGAACATTCCGTTAATTCTTTATGTCTATGTTATAAATAAAAACTAATTAAAATTAATTGCAGAAGTTGATTTATGAATCTTATATGGCTAACTGACCTCTGTGTCATGAAGCCAAAATTTCCATAGGTGCTAATTATCATTTGACCTCTGATACTGAAATAATTATTTCAGATGGCCAGATGGCAAGAGTGTAGAATAATCCCCTACACACACACACACACACACACACACACACACACACACACACACACACACACACATATTATCTGACAGAACTTCCATTGCTGAATTGATGGTACTCCCTCCTTCCACAGTTTTCAAAATATTGGTAGCAACTAACTTGTCTGGCATTCCACTGCTAAATCATAACAAGTCTATACAGATAGCAATTGTTTATATACTGAGACTTAGTCATGTAGGGAGAGCAAATCTTGTAATACTTTGCCACAGGCATAGTAAAACCTTGCAAGAGTCGGGATTTATTGCCCTGGTTGAGCAGTAGCTGCCTGGTAATGCATATAATAGTAGCATTGTAGCAACAAGACTAGTCCTCTGCTTTAAGCATGGATTTTAGTGAAGATTGTATGTCTTGACAATACTGTTCAGTGAATTGCATTAGAACCATATTACCTGAGTAATTTTTGTAAATGTTGTTGGAGAAACTGACTTGATATACATATTTTTTATAAAATATTATAAAAATGATGAGGTATCTGTTCAACATTAATCAGTTCTGTGTAGTACCGTGATGAAGCTTATAAACTGGGATGAAGTGATTTTTTGTGGCCTATCCTAACATTCCTTGAAGATCAGGATTTATAAATTAATTTCATAAATGATGTATTTAAAATATTCTTAACTTTCTTAGATATTTATAACACTTGAACTATGCCTGTAGTTTCCCTAGTTATAACCGCATAAATAAATACCCTTCCTACAAAATGTAGCAGAAGCATTTACTAATTTCTTTTAAAGTGGGTGCTAAACAATTAATTTGCTAAATTGATTGATGGCTTGCATAGGAAATTCATGTCTTACATTTGATAAGGATGATTAAAGCAGTAAGTCAAGCCTTATGCGTATGGCTAATAAACATGTGAATGTTAATACATAATATTAACTTTACTATTATGTTTAGTAAGTGCAGTATATCATTAAACTATGTTACTTTTATTTGCAATTTGTGTTGAATAAGTATATAAAAGAGCACGGATGTTTTTAAAGCATTAAAATCATTTTACAGACTAATTCTTCCAGTGTTATTTCTGAGTTGGAAGAGGAATTTGATGGCTTATACTCAATACTTGATGAAATGAAGGAGATCATGACAACTAACATCAAGCAAGAACAAGCACATAAAATCCAGGAACTTCAGGTAATTATTTATATAATAAATTCATAGAACATTTTCTTAAATTCTTCTAGGAGAATTTTAGTGATTAAAAGAAATAGTCTATTTCCTAAATATTTCTATGTATGAGTGCAACCCTAACTCTCTGCCACCTAATCTCAGAGGGTTAAATTATATTGTTTGGGAAAATAAAATTTTAATTAGGTTATGTGTACAAAAAACTTCAAGAAATAAAAAACCTGGGCGTTTTAAAGTGTTAAAGCAATTTTCTTATAAAAGGGCATTAGTGGCTAGTGGCTATCTGGATTGGATAGTTTCTCTTTAGAAATGTTTAGTGGTGTAATGGACTTTCTGTAATATTTAGTCTCTGTTTTTGGATATCTGAATACAGAATTATTTTTAATGTTTAATAGTTTTGAATTTTTTGTTGTAATATTTAAGTGAAGGATGAGGAGGATTTATATTAAATGGAAAGGAGGATTATATACATATGCTGCTAGATATATATGTTAATATTTACTGAGCTTGTTGGTTAATAAGGGGAGTTAAAGACCTAGAGATGGATTTATAGAAAATGGGGTGAGGTATGGAATGAAAAGGTATCTGGTTGTGCTTTAAGAGACTGATAAATTGTTAATGTTGACTATGCTTTCTGGGGAAGGGGAAGTTTCTTTTTCTTACTATTTGTGGGGATTTCCCCCCCACATTTAGTCATGGTGGTATGTATGGTTTGTGTGTGAGAGAGTGTATTAGGTTTCTTAGTTTTATCTGTTTAGTATAGTTCTTAATAAAATGATTGAAAACAAAAGATGAAGCACTTGTCTTGGGTAAAATCTATTGTTCCTCTTAGCGATATCTTTGTCAGTCCACAAAATAATTTTGAGTGTTACTAAAAATGCCATATGCCACCTGTGTGTTCTGGCAGTATATGAAAGTCAGTTTGTGAGACCTTTCAACTGAATCTTAGAGTTTCTAAGTGAATGTTTCTAAAGGCTACATTTACAGGTTGTCCTCACCTAACAACTGTAATTGGGGCTAGAATTCCTATCGCTAAGTAATATGATTGTAAAGTGTGGTATTATTGTACGTGACCACAATGCTTAGCAGTGGCAGTCACATCAGCCCCCATTGTTACCCGTAAGTGAGGATCATAGGTTTTTAAGTGAAGGCCTCCTTGTAACTTTTTGCCGGCTTCCAAAAAGCAAAGTCAGTTGGGAAGCCAGCCAGAAGTCACAAATTATGGGCTGCTTACAAGCAGATTGGCAGGCAGGTAAATGGTGGCTGCAGGCAGGGGGTGGCTGCTGTCGAATAAAAGGGGGGGGGGCTGGTGCTACTTGTTCAGCATAGTCATAATTTTGAATGGTTGCTGAATTAGTGTTCATTAACTGTGAACCACCTGTTATTTCTACAATATTTCCACTTATTGTTGAACTCAAAATGAAGACTGAAAACAGCTGATATTCTGGATTGGCCTTCCTGCATGTAACACCATAGCAAAATCAATTGCATTGTAACTTTTAGTGTACTCAATTATATAATGAAGTAAAAAGACTGAAATAATAGATTTATAACCCAACAGAAGTCTTAAGGATACAGTACAGGAAACCTGTTTTATTGAAACTATATTGAGCACTGAACTCTTTAATATTGCATGGCTAAAGTGCCATTTGGCAGATGATATCCTCCAAAGCTTAGCAGTAGTGTACAGCCACTGCATGCAGGACAACATAAGAGAGTGGAAACATCAATGCAGTAAGACTCAAGAAACTTAAGAAGACATGTTCTAAACATTGCAAAGGCACATCTAGCCTGTATTTGGAATGATTTTATTAATTAGCCAGTTTTGGCCAGTTAAGACCAATGAATAGTTGTCTGTGACTTAATGTCTTAAATGCTAGAAAGAATTATAATGATCATCAGCATTTCTAGGCTAGATTAAATTGTTCATTCAGAAATGGGGAATATTTCCTCCCCCCCACCAAAAAAAACTGCACCAACCCTATGTGCTGCCTTGCTAAGTGATTTATCAGGAATGTTTTTATACCTATCATTCTATTGTGAGGTTTGGAGGGGAGGTTGTATAGAATATCAGCAATAGAAAAGTTTGAGATTGTTCCTCTAAGATAGAGGAAAATATTTTTGTTATTATTTTTTGAGACAGTTCAAGTACCAAACTGTTTTTGAAAAAGATGACAAATATAATTTCCCCTGTTTTCAGGCTTCAGACTGAACTATAAACAGGAGAATTCCTATCAATGGTTGGGAAAAAACTATTACGTTATATTTATGTATTTGTTAAGTTTATGTGCTGCCTATCTCGCTGTAGGACTATTTCAGGCATCTTACAATAATAAAAAGGTAGAAAAATGAAAGGAGTGTAAACAAGAACAGAAATAGAATAATAGAACAATAAAATAAACAATGACAAAGGAGCACAATGAGAATAATATATCAATATGATAACCAAAAGGGTGGGGAGCAGGGGTGGGAGTTGGAGTCTGCCATCAATCTATCAGCCACCTCCAGTGTGGAACTTCCCCATTTGGTCCCCAGGCCAACCAGCAGAGCCAGGTATTCATCTTACATGCCTGTTAGAAAGCTTTCTTATAGTCCTAACTGTTTTAAATAGTTACTATTATTTGATCACATTTATGTATCGTAAAGAAACTAAAATCAGTGATTAAATTTAGGATTAGACAAGTACAGTTTCCACATTAGTAAAGTTGTCTGCTGGGAATTTGGAATAGCCATATGGAATTGAATTAAAAGCTGCTTGCTTTGTCATAATCTTCTGAATGATTTTTATGTTAGAGGAGAAGACAAATCTTTACCTAAGTTCTGGACTAGAATTGTTATTTGGTAAGTTAAATGAAATTTACAGTAGCAGTCCCATAGGATTGAGTGATAGTAAACATATGTTCTTTATGTTGCCTTGATTATTTTGGAAATAAATTGCTAGCAGAAAATAATGTAAAGAAAATTGGTATATTACAGGAGGATTTTTTTTAATGTTTGGACAAATACAGTGAAAAAAGAGATGGCAAATGTGATAAAGGAAGTTTACCTATATTTGATATTTGGAAATATATGCTTTTCCATTTAGGCCAGTTTTGTTTTTAGTTGATAACAAATCCCCACAGACCTGCCATATGACAAAGCTGCTTAAACCTTTATCTCTACTACGAAGCTTTTATAACTCCCTGAGGTTTTCTTTATACAAAATAATCAACCTTGGGTTATTTAATAAAAGCCTATGCTTTATCACTGGACTGAAGACCTCTTTATTCTTCTGAATAAACAAATTTGGAAAAAAAGGAGTGAACCAGATATGAAATATGTTCATGAGCAGGTTTCCATATTGTTTTCTTTCCTAGAATCAGCTTAGTCAATGTAGTAATGCCCTGGAGAACTCTGAAGAATTGCTGGAGTTTGCTGCACGATCCTTGGATATAAAGGAGTCCGAAGAATTTTCAAAGGTATATAACAGTGATGGCGAACCTTTTAGAGACCGAGTTCCCAAACTGCAACCCAAAACCCACTTATGTATCATCTGGTGCTGGGTGGGTGTGGCCCATTGGGTGGGCATGGCTGCAGTGCTAGCAGCAGACTGGGTGGGACTAAAAAGTTCAATCAATCAATTCCAACTTTTTTTTCCCACGAGAAGTTGAAATTGATTGATTGATTGAACTTTTTTTTTTTTTTGCACACGGCGGTGGAGGCCTAAAGCGAAAAGGTTTTATAAAACCCAGCTGAAGGCCTAGGACTGGGGCGACGGCGCACATGCCCACAGAGAGGGCTTTGCATGGCATAGGTTTGCCACCACGGGTATATAACTTGCCAGAAATGAACAAAAAATAGATTAAAAAACTATATAATATTATTTTTCTGCAGTTACTTCAGTAATGTATAATAAAATTTTGTGGAAGAACTAGCATCTCTTAAAACATTTCATTCTTATGTATTTCAAGGGAATATATTTAAACTTACTCATGAGAAAGAATTCATAAAATGATGGGATTTGAAACCCCAGATATATTTCATATATGTAATAAAAGAATATAATTTTAAATCTTAAAAATGATGAATTAGTTTGTTTTGTTTTAGTAAAAATACCATACAGTTTAGAAAGTTTAAAATATGTAAACCTGCGTAACTGTAATAAATTTCTGGATGGAATTAACCTTGTTTCTGCAGGTACTTACAATAATGCAAATACTATGCATTTTTGAATCCAAAGGAATGAGATTAGCAGTATTATTCATTTATGAAAGCATATATTTACAGCTCAATGGGCAAATCTACAAACTAGGAATAAAATGCAAAGAATAATTTATTTTTGGGTAAACAATTTATCTTGGCAATATAGGAGGCTGCCACACTTAATTTTTTTGCTTTCTCCTATTAGCTTTTCAGTGCTTTTGTGTTTTCATCTTATTTATATTTAACAGAGCTGAATCAGCTCTCAATCCTGTATTTGTACTTTTCTTATCATTTCTTTGCATATATTGAATGTTCTCGACTAAGGCAAGGAAGAATGTATTAAAATGAATAATTAAAATAATTCTGAATCAATCAAAATACTAACCTTGGTATCTGATTTTCTTCTGTTGTGGAAAAGAAGATCTTTAAGTCTAAAGTGTGAGTTGTTTTCCTGTAAATTAAATGAAAAGCAAAGATGTAATAGTAAAACTTAATTTATCAAGTTCCTTATGTTATCTTTTTGTTCTCTATAATAACTCATTCTTTCTTTCTGTAAAATTCCATATAACTCATATAATTTTCTCCCAGATTGTAACAACTTTCCAGCTGCCTGATTACAGTATTTCCCCACCCCTGCTCTCATGCCTGACAACAAAACATGATTGTTACATTCTGTTTGTTATCCCTTATATTCTTGCCAAACAGCTTTAGATCTAAAGAATATAGATCTGTAAATTTATGAATGCATGTTGAAATGTTGCCATTTAAGCACTTTCTTTATTGATGAACTTTTGGCTGAGCTTAGCCCAGTGGTACCTGTCAGTTAATAGGCACTTAGTTTGGCTTTCAAATAATATGAAATCTTTTTGAAGGAGCAGAATCTTTATCCCTGTTGCTTTTGTAGTTAATATCTGGCATGAAACTTAACTTCATAGTTCTGTTGTGTTAATTTTTATTGCTACTCTTCAGCTTTGTCAGAAATGATTGATGTTAATGACATTACCATGAAATTTAGGGCCGTTGTACATACAGTTACCTGCTGAAGTAGCAGTATATGTATTGCGTATTGTTTTTCTTTTAGCTAAAGACACTGAGTAAACCAATTTTTAGATCCATCTTCTATTAAATATTGATTCAGTAAGGAAGCTTAAATTGGGGGATGAGGAGAGATGGTGTTGTCATATCAAATAAGAACTTCATAAAATAATTATTTTAGTTGGAAACATAAGAAGAAAATAGTTCACAAGCATTTACGAATCGGGCAATGGTGCCACTGACAGCACTGACTCTAAGAGAGAAAGTATTTATATTGCTTAGTGCACTTGTGGCAGGTACAGGTAGTCCTTGACTTGCAACAGTTCATTTACTGACCATTCAAAGTTATAATGGCAGTGAAAAAAGTAACTTATGACCATTTTCACACTTGCAGCATCTTCATGGTCACGTGATCAAAATTCAGATGCTTTGGCAACTAGCATGTATTTTTAACAGTTGCAGTGTCCCGGGGTCATGTGATCCCCTTTGGTGATCTTCTGACAACCAAAGTCAATGGGGAAGCCAGATTCACTTAACAACTGTTTTAACTAAATTAACAACTGCAGTGATTCACTTAACAACTGTGGCAAGAAAGGTTAGAAAATGGGGCAAAATTCACTTAACTCTTTTGCTTAGCAACAGAAATTTGGGAGTCAATTGTGATCATAAGTCGAAGGCTACCTGTACAGGAAAATTAAGATGTGCATATGAGATCCATAGGAACTAGCATTTTTTTATTCAAACTATTTCAGATTCCCAACTTTCGAGTGTGTGCAAAAACAGCCAGGTTGAGCATCTGATTAAAAGTGATTTTGTTTTCAGTGTTTGTTTTCCATATTAGTTGTTTAGTGAATATGGATGTTCTGTCAAATATCCAGAGAGGAAATTACTGATTGTAGCAATTTCTTTTTTCTCCTTATATTGAATGGTTCTCCTGTAAGAATATGCATTTGTGCAAAATCTACATAGAATTATAACCTGCTAATTTTCCCACATGCAACTTCTAAGGAGAATTACAGGTTAACAAAAAAAGAAAGAATCAGAATTCTTTAAATTTTAAATTCAACTTTAAATTTTATAGTCTAAATTTTAAGGTTTTTACTCCAATTTTCTGTTCTACTTTCTGTTCTACTGTTTCAAAAGATAATAATTACCTCACAACCGGAATATGTTAATAATATATTATTTTCTGTCCAACACTAAGTAATAATATTGTTTGAGTTGCAGAATATATTTTGATAAAAAAATTTAAGTATATATGTAAGCTACCCTATATAAGTGGCATTCATACAACTCTCTAGCCCGGTAATTTGCATTCATTTGGGCTGGATAGATTCTGGAAAAGATACTTGTACAAA